CAAATTGCCATGGTCTACCTAGAAACAAATGACCAGCTTGTGTAGGAACGACATCACAAGTTACTTGATCTTGATATTTTCCAACACTGAAGGGTATAACAACTTGATCACTAACTTTAAGCACTACCTTATCATCGAGCCACCTTAGCCTATAAGGTCGTGGTTGTTTAGTTCTCTCAAGGCCAAGCTTATCAACAATATGAGCATTTGCAACATTGGTGCAAGAACCACCATCAATAATAAGATTACATACCTTGCCTTTAATGGTGCAACGGGTATGAAATATGTTTTCTCATTGGATGATCTCGGTAGGCTCTACCATGGTGCTCAGTACTCGTCTCATCACTAGAAGTTCTCCAGAGTCAGGATATTTAAAACATGTCGTTGTAGTTTTTTTTCTGTTTGTAAATATTTAATGTTATCACTTTTTAGTTAATGCTTTGTAGTTAACATTTCCTGTTTTCCAAAAAAATAGTCAAAACACTTATTACTCTTATGCTGATACCGGAGTATGTACTAGTAGCTCTTGACTATAATGAAGATCAATATGCCCAAGTATTTATAGAGTTAATTACACTTAAAGGGACTTTACTGATACAAGCTTGGAGTGATATCCGGTTTAATATGTCCTTATGTACGAGAATGACTCGATGAGTTCAGGAAGAGATGGGACAGGCGGTACGGTGTGTCTTGTAACCGAGATACTCAGGACACAAGGATGTGGTACGATGATGTGGAACGAACGATACGGCTACTCGGACGTGGGATGGGAACAAGTAGTACCAGGGGACGGCGGTATGAGTGTATTGGTCGAACAACCGAGATACTCGGGCGGTTTGACCGTGTATCGCACGAGATGAAAGATGGAACTGTGGGGATCGATGTGTACCACAAAGGTAATAGAAACTCAGTTGATACAACACTAGTATTCTCTATGATTTTGGAGGTACTAGTCTCGACAAAAACAAGAGAATAAACACAAGAATTAGATGTAAACTTATGAAGAAAATTCAGTATTTTAATGATCAAAGTTGAAAAATACAAGGCTTTGAGAGGAGACTTTATAAACTAGTCCGAACAGATATGCCCTTCTTGGGGTCTTTGGAAATAAATTACATAAATTAAAATACAAGAAATCAGGCCAACATTTGCCTTACTTATTAAACAAAAATCAACATAAATGTAATTAAAATTAACGACTAAGTTTATGCGGCAAAAGAGATTGAAAATCATTAGCCAAAATGTAATGAAAATAATCATAAACACTTACCCTGTTTGTTGGCTCGGTTTTAAAGTCTGAATGATTGCCATCTTGATAACTATTTGACTGTGGTGATGAGTATTATGGGTCTTGGGCCTTGTTTGAAAGAACAAAGAGATTATAGCCGTTTGGTTTAGAGAATAATGGCCATGCTTCATGAATGTCTTTAACTATGTATAGGCCTTTGCTAGCTTGGGCATTATCTTGAAGTTCTTGATCATCAGCTTGTTGGACGGCCAACATGATAGCTTGATTATACTTGTGTTGTAACACTCTTGCTCTTTCTTTTGTAATGGCTCCGGTTGGTACTTCAATCACTTGTGGTTCGGTTAAGTCAGGCTCTTCTTAGATATCTTCATCATTCCCTCCCTCTTGAATAGTTTTTGACCTCAAAACAGGATCATCTGCAAGGAATGGGGCTAGATCAGAAACGTTAAAAGTAAAAGATACATTAAACTCACCTGGAAGTTCAAGACGATAGGCATTGTCGTTGATCTTCTCCAGAATTTTGAATGGGCCATCACCGCGTGGCTTTAGCTTTGAGGTCCTTTGATTTGGAAACCTTTCCTGCCTCATATGTAGCCAAACCCACTTGCCCGGTGCAAACACAACTTCTTTGCGTCCTTTGTTGGCTTGCCTTGTGTACTGTTCTGTCCTCTTCTCCAAGTTCTCTTTAGCCTTTTGGTGTAGTTTCTTGATGAACGCTGCTTTCTCTTCTCCCACTAGACTTACTGCTTCGGCTGGTGGAAATGGTGTTCAGTCTAGAGGTGTGGTAGGGTTGAATCCATAGACTATCTCAAAAGGGGACATCTTAGTGGCTGAATGGTGTGCCCGGTTGTACGTGAACTCTATGAACAGTATACACTCAAGCCAATTCTTCATGTTCTTCCCTATAGTTGCTCTCAACAAAGCTGATAAGGTCCTGTTGACTACCTCTGTTTTTCCATCCGTTTGAGGGTGGCAAGTGGTAGAGAATAAGAGCTTTGTCCCTAGCTTCTTCCACAAGGTTCTCCAGAAATGGCTGAGAAACGTGCTATCTCGGTCTAAAACGATTGTTCTTGGTACTCCATGTAATCTGACTATCTCCTTGAAGAACAAGTCAGCCGTTTGAGAAGCATCATTCACCTTGGCACATGGTATAAAATTTGCTGTTTTTGATAAGCGATCCACCACCACAAAAATGGATACTTGGGCGGTTTGACCGTGGATCGAACGAGATGAAAGATGGAACTATGGGGATCGACGTGTACCACAAAGGCAATGAAAACTCCTTTAATACAACACTAGGATTCTCTATGATTTTGGAGGTACTAATCTCGACAAAAACAAGAGAATAAACACAAGATTTAGATGTAATCTTATGAAGAAAATTCAGTATTTTATTGATCAAAGTTGAAAAATACAAAGCTGTGAGAGAGGACTTTATAAACTAGTCCGAACAGCTATGCCCTTCTTGGGGTCTTTGGAAATAAATTACATAAATTAAAATGCAAGAAATCAGGCCTACATTTGCCTTACTTATTAAACAAAAATCAACATAAATGTAATCAAAATTAACGACTAAATTTATGCTGCAAAAGAGATTGAAAATCATTAGCCAAAATATAATTAAAATAATCATAAACACTTACCTTGTTTTATGGCTCAGTTTTAAAGTCTGAATGATTGCCCTCTTGATAACTCTTTGACCGTGGTGATGAGTCTTATGGGTCTTGGGCCTTGTTTGAAACAACAAAGAGATTATAGCCGTTAGGTTTAGAGAATAATGGCCATGCTTCATGAATGTCTTTAACTCCGTATGGGTCTTTGCTAGCTTGGGCATTATCTTGAAGTTATTGATCATCAGCTTGTTGGGCGGCTAACATGATAGCTTGATTATACTTGTGTTGTAACATTCTTGCTCTTTCTCTTGTAATGGCTCCGGTTGGTACTTCAATCACTTGTGGTTCGGTTAAGTCAGGCTCTTTTTAGATATCTTCATCATTTACCAAACTTTTATTACAATCAAAGGTACTTTCAAAGATCGGATGACTTTGAAGAGTTAGAAAGACCAAACTACCCCAATCTATTTATCTTCCTCTTTCTTCCTCCTTCTTCGATTCATCTCTCTCTCTCTCTTTAAACTTTTTTTTTCTTGTGGAATCATCGCTTGTGAATGATGGTAACTAGTCCGGTCGGTGGTAAGTTAGATCGATTGATTCATAGAATTTCTGTTTGATCTGGGATTTGTCCTTTTTTGTCTCTCTCTCTTGATATTTTTTGAAGATGTTGCTCTAACAACAAGGAGAAGAAGAATCAGAACGCTAAAGGAAATATGATTCTAGGTAGTGTCGGGCCGATCCAGTTTGTGGCCTACGAGGAACCGGATAAGAGAGTGTGGATATGACAACGTGGATGAGATCATATTGTCTCAATATTCTGTGTCATCTATGGTTGATGTATGTGTGGATATGACAACGTGGATGAGATCGGAAGGTCATGGTATTCTCTGTTATCGATGGTTGATGTAAGTTCATACTAACTCATCCATGTGAATATATGAAAACTGTAATGATTACTTGTATAATGGTACATATGCTTGTATGTGGACATAGAGTCCTGGACATGATGAGGTGGATGCGCTGGCGTGGACGTGGACATATTGGTGTTGTTCATATATTAACTATTTTCTATTTTTTTAATCATTTTTTTGATTGCTTATTTGATTGTATACTAGAATAAAAAAAAATTTAGAGGATACTTTCAGCTATAATTTTACTGTCCATTTACTTTTACAGTCCACACTATTTTGTCCATAATGCTTGTTTGTCAATCTACAAGATCATGTCCACACAATTTTATCCATGAAATTGAGATCAAAACTAGCTTCATAAATTCTCCTGATTGAACAATGAATCTAGTCAATTGTGATAATACCCAAGCTATTGAATCCTTAACAGATAATTGTATCAGAGAAAATCTAGAGAATCCAAACTAGAATGATAAATCTATATCAATTTAATCAAAAAAAGTTCAGTTGAGTAAAATACGTGCAGAGATAATATATATATATATATATATATATAATGAGAAGTTGAATTAAATTATTTAGGTTTTGTATAGTTAAAATTAAAATTAGAAAATGATAATATCCTTGACGAGAACAAGAGTGAAAGTGAGATGTGAAGGAGGAGAGAAAGAAGAAGAAGAAAAAGAAAGAGATGATGAAAAACATATCATTAAGGACAAAAAAGTTTTTTTAACTTCAAAAAATATTGTTAAAATGCACCAGTAGTTGAAAGTACCTTCTAGTATTATTTTAAACTTAAAAATATCTTGTAATGTAAATCACTCGAATTTTAGTTCTTGTTTGTCCTTATTTTTCTTTTGTTATTTTTTCTTTTGTTATGTTTGTCTTTCATCTCTGTTTTTCTAAATAATTTTCCTTATTTTGGATGGTGCTATTTATTATGAATGAGAAGGAAAAAAAAATGTAATGGGAAGTAAACAAAATCTATAAAAAATATATTTAAATAAGCTTTTTAATTATTCTTTGAATTTAAATTTGTTTGTTTGATGTTAAATTTAAATTAATTAACTAAAACAAATAGTATCTCACAAAATTGACCAGCGGTTGAAACAAAATTATACAAAATCAAAAAATGAAAAATAAACAGAACATAATAATAGATATCTCACAAAATTGTCCAGTCGTAGAAACAAAATTATGCAAAATCTAAATGAAACGAAAAAACTTTTGTGTATGTTAAAATTTTAGTTTAAAACAAAAAAATTTCATGCATGCAATATTCATGATGGCAAAAATTGGAAAGGGAAAAAGTATGTTGAGTATAATTAATATATGATAGAAAAGTGAAAAAAAAATATTTAAAACGTAAAAAGAACAGTTACAAACAATGTGTGTAAAATGTAAAACGACATGTTTTTAAAAACAGAGGGAGTAACATTTTGGTTGAAGGCTACACGGATGCAGAGAGGTAAGAGGTAACAAGTGAAAAGGTAACAGGCTTCTGCTTCTTGTATTCATTGTAACGCAAAAAGAAGTAACCTAAATAATCAAACTCTATTGGAGACATCCTTGCCTGTTTCACGGAACTTATACTAGTTATATTAGCTCAATCTTAAGTTGGTTCCGCAATCAAACGTTAAACAATATACTATATTGTTTAAAAGTGCACCTGGATGATTGCCCATACTGCCCAGTACAAATGAGATGCTAGTTTATACGCATCTGTCTCTATAAAGACTGATTCCACTTCATCAATGCTGACCTGTTCACAAAAAGCATCACATATATGATATATTGTTTAGTTTTGCAATAGGCAACACATTTTGGCAAGATTAAACAAACTCCCTCTCTATATCTTAGAACACGACGACTACATGCTGATATATATAATTATTCGTAAATTTCATATAGAAACAATCAAGCAAATGTATAGAAAAAAGATTATCACCCCAATTTGAATTCTTTCAAACTGCGTTTGCATGTGTTAGAAAATATTCATATTTATAAACAAAGAGATAATTTTCATTTGCTCATAAATTATTATGGACACTCTTTACACAATAGACTGTTACCCCAATTTTAATTCATATATATTTTGTTAAAGAAACTGCTATATATCGGTTACCGACTAAGAATGAACTCAACTGTAACCAACTGCATGATATGTTCTTACCTCGTCTGGTTTGTCAGGCTGTAGGTAATGTTTGATGAAATGATATTGTTCTTCTTTACTTGGGTAGCTACAAAGCAACCACAACAAGAATTTATGTTTTAACTTTTAGATATAACTATTCTAAATAATAGAGGAAGTCTAAAGGAAGTTGAACATACACGCTGTAATCACAGTCGTATCCTGCATATTCATTGAAGTGGTTTCCGATGTCAAAGCCTCTATAGTTGTATGATCCATACTCGAAATCAATCAGGTATAGTCTCTCTATACATGGATACAGAGAGTCGAGTTATAAACTAAATATCACCACCACTTAGGATACAGAAGAACGTAACTAAGCCAGTCAAAAAAATAGCATTGCTACCTACATCTTAAAGTTGGCCATCTTATACAGCACCATCACAATTCGCCATTTAGCATTATGATCAATAATAAATCTTAAATATGGTTTCGCAGATAACAGAGTGACCCCTATATCTTTTTTAGCTCTAAGTCTGTCTTTAAATTTCTATGATTTCAGCCAATAAAGAAGTACAGAGAACAAGGAATTTGCTTACCTTCTTCCTCATTCAACATCAGGTTTCCAGAGAGCAAATCATTATGAGCAAACACCACAGGTGCATTAAGTAAGCCTGTGAATTCCTGTTCAATCATCAGAATAAGCAAATACGATCATACATAACCAAGTAAAAAAGGGTTCGCATTCTTAGCCTTCACAAACACAAATAGTTTATATTACAGATAGAAAGCATTAGCAGATTTTTGAACAAGTCACTGCACATCAAGAACACACACAGTAAAAACATACAAAAATCTGTACTGAGAAAATGGTAACACCTTTAGCTCAATAATTTCTTTATGCAGTTCTTCAAATGAAATTGTGTCAAAGAGCTTCTGCCTATCAGGTTCCTCAAACCTAAGAGTAGATGCTGCAAGAAAAGGACGAGACAGACATGGAAGAATGCATAAGAGCTGATTTCTACCACTGTTGGTGGTTTATATCAAATATAGCCAACACATCATCAAAGCAAAAAAAAAACATAATTGTAACTATAGTAAAAACAGACAAACGTAAAAAAAACCTTTTTCAAAGAACTTCACGATATCAACCCACAGTTGAGGTTCTTTGGAGCCTGGTATTCCCACTTGATGAAACTTTCCAAGCTCTTTCGCAATTTGAGCAGCAATCTTCGGTTGTCTCAAGTCTGCCCACAAGGAAAGAGAAATGAGATTTATTTGTAGACCCATGAAACTGAAGACTACTAAGTAGAACTTAAATAGATAAATTTGAGAGTGGAAAGTCCCCATTTTATGGAGATGTTCCACCCATGAGCATTACCAAATGTTAACAACTTCTTCCAGTTTATATCATACTATTGAAGTATTTGACACAACCAAGAAAAACCGAACTTAGGATTGTAGGTTATTCAAAATTTTCTTTTCGAAACAGTCAATCTCACTTGATTTTGTTAAACATGGGAAACTTTGCAGTTCATCTATTTAACAACAACAAATAAATAAATAAAATATTTCTCTATATTCCGCTACAAGAATTTTAAATGCCAACCTGATGGGTCTAAGGTTCGTGCGTGGATGAATGATTGCACCATGCCATTTCCAAATCCACCAAGCAACTTGGCACCAAATCCAGCAGCCGAGAGATACTTGATAGCCTATTGAAGACGTGAGAAGCAAATAACGAAAAAAAGACACAAGATAAAACTTTAAATGATGCAAAAGAATAATAGGAAACATTAACAGAGAAACCTTTGATAATTCAAGAAAAATTGAGCAAAAACTCTGCCATGTCTCGCTGTAAGGCTCATGCTTCGAGTTGACATCACTAGGAGAAAAATAATTCAAATAACAGAGAAATTCTTGGTAACGCAAACTAATACATTAATAAAAACGGATCAGACATGAAAAAATGACTTCGTGTGCACATAAGCATAAGCGACTTATCATATATATTCAAATAAGTGAGTGTATATATTACCTGTAGCTCTCTCTCCCGGTTAATAACGTACTCCGTGTTAGGCCCATACAATCTAACTGTTACAGACACTTCTCTATCAGTGTCTTCCTTCACAGAAACCTTCAGCACTGCCATCAAGAAACGATGACATAGAAGTTAGAAAACAAAAACTAAAGTAGAAAATGAACATTAACATGTAAACTGTAAACTCGGAAACGAAATTACATGATGATATTCATTCCGATAGGAAGAAAAAAAATGAATATATTATGAAAACTTACACAGATTTGTGATGCCTCCTGATACCCTCTCGACAGAGAAGAGTGAATCATCAAGCTCTCTCCAATTCTTGAACAGGTCTTTACATAACTCTCTGTTACAAATCACATGATTGCAGAAATTATCAATTAAAATCAAAACAAAAATATGAGTCAAATAGATTCTGACTAATCCGCCATAAAAACGAAACAATAACATGAATATGAGTCACAGCCCGTAGTCGTATCAACTTTTCTCTTTTTGTTTTTATATGTTATTTTAGTCTTATCAGTTTTTAAGATAAGGAAGCTTCACTGTGTCATCAAGAGCACTTTCCAACCAGTTCTTCCATAATCGAATTCGAAAGCAATTTAAGAAGAAAACGAAATCTTCGTAGCTAAACAAATTCCTCTATCTCAAGGAGATAACATCAGAAACTAAAAAAAAAATCGTCCAAATTAAACAGAACTAGGTACAAACTTCAACAGCCACGACGAAGAATCAATCGACAAAAATGAAGAAAGCGAAAAGAAAACGAACATAATGCGAGGAATCATGAGAGGCAAAGATGTATCAACGACGAGCGAAGAGTAAGGAATATGGGAAGAAGCGTCGTTGCCGCTAGCTTCATCTCCGGCTTCCAATACTGCCCAGATACTCTTCGCAGCTCCCATTTTTTTTTCCAACTTTTGAAATTTCTCTACAATAAGATTTTTCCTTTTCAGATCTCAATTTTTGATTCTGTTTTTGATAAGGACAGAAGTGGATTTGGGCTTATTATGGACCATATAAGTTATTAGTGGGTTTGCTATTGGGTTTGGGTTTTTATTAAACATTTTCATGTATTTAAAAGTGAGCAATTCTCTTGTAAATACTTATAGAAAAGATCAATAAAAACATATATATTTTTTTTTCTTCTTCTCTTCTTCTCTTCTTTAATTTCTTTTGATTTTCAACCTCCTTTCTTCTATTCTCTTCTCATCTCTTTATTATCTTTTATTTGGTAAGTTCGGAACCTATCAATTAGTGCTTCAATTGAGAGCTTAAAATGGGATGTTCAGAACTCGAGACAGATTGGAACGAATCTTCAGAATATCTAAGGCAGTCGACGCTGATGTATACCCCAGACGCGGGCTAAAGAGCACCAGAAGACGCCAGAACTTCCACGAACACAAGAGACGAGCACCGAAGATTCAATTGCAAGGGAAACTTCAAAGGTATCTCTTGGGAATTTCGTCGAACAAGTGGCGGGACAAAACAGAAAGTTTTGATGGTGGATTCTTTGATCGAAAATACAGAAATGGGCTTGCAGGCTGAACATTGTAGACTCCTCAAGCAGACCCAAGTTCATTATGAACTGATTCAGAACAGGGTTAGCGAAGTTACTCTTGGATGTAAGTTTTCAGCTTGTAAGAAGGTAAGGAAAAATCTAGGACTGGTCAAAAGACGGTATCACAGGGCTCGGAAAAAGAAATCAACTAAGTACACACCACGTCCTGATTTGGTGCAAGCTTTTAAGTGCTACGGTATGTTTCGCTGCTCCGGTTTTAGAGGTTGTTTAGAGAATCGCAAGACAGAGAGAGCACCCTTCAGTCCATTTTCAGTTTAGCTGTTCAGTTTAAAGAAAGGAGAGTGATGGTGGATGATCAAAATGGTTCGCTGGCTAATAACACATTCACCAAGACTACTAAAGCTTTAGAACGTGAATAACAAAAGCTTGAAAAAGATGGGTGGAGTCGTGCAAAGTTAAGTTTTGGTGGAGTTAACTTCAGAAACTTAAGCCAAGATCATAAAGGATCAACTCGCCACAAGATGATTAAGACTGATCGTATATGTGAACCTGAAAGTATCGCTAAACAATATTTATGGGAGTTGCTAGAGAAGTATTATGTTCATGGTGAAATTTTGGAGCTAACTATGAAGCTTCATAAGACGTCTTTACATCAAACTCCTGAGATACTCAATCAACACGCAAAAGAAACTCTGCAGTGGAAGCAAAGAGGGAAGACATTTTGTGAGTTACTGAGATTGAGCTCACAGAAACAGAAAGTAAGGCTTAAGTCTCAATTGCTGGTATGTAACATTTTCGATGGGCTAGTGAATCTGGGGTATACACATGGTTGCCTTGTTGCTGTGAGAATAGCGAATACATGTCTTAAGCTATCAGTAGAGTCTGGTGTCGTTTTGGTTGTTGTGGGAAGCGACAAGATTGATGAAACTAGGTATCTAACGTTGGGAGTATGCGGAGGCAATACACTAGCTTTTGTTCCAGGAGGAATTCTTTGTGATCAAGCTCAGCTTGTGTGGTTAATGAGAGTTAACAGTGGGGGTGACAAGAGACTGTTAGGGAATGAGTCCCACAAAACAATTCATTGCATTGATAGTAACCAACAGATTTTTCCACACTTGAGATGGTCAGCGTCTTTACAAGGTTCAAATAAAGACCTGCGTAAGTGGTTAAGCTATTTTAAGAAATTCATTCCACTTCGTGAGTTGTATGTCTGGGATCCAGGCCAAACCAAGCTCTTCACGGAGACCAGACCAATCACTAAAATCAGCAAAAATGATCAAGCTACAAGCCAGATAATGCAGACGCTTGCGATGATGCTGAAGTTATTGAACTAATTGTTGTTACACCTTGAGGACAAGGTGTATCTTCAAAATGGGAGCATTAGTATGTGGAGAACAACGGTTAGCGTTATATAGAAAAGAATAAAAAGATACAGGAAGTAAATAACATAACTGACCAGAAGTGGAGTTTAGTATGCTGCCTTGGCACTGGTTTCAGAATGTGGGAGTATGGATTTGATGCTGTTTACCACTGTGAGAGCAGGGAAGAATCCTTAGGAATGAGTAAGGTAAAATATAGAACGACTGCGTGGGACGTAGCGGAGAAAGCATTGGGCAGTGAGAATATGACATGGCCTACGAAACATTCACACAAAACTGTTGGATACCAGAACAGGAAAAAGGCTTTTGATTTGAGAAAGGAAGAGCTGTTAAAACGTGAGCAAGACCAGAGGTTGCTGTCTTTTGAAAGTCTGAATCTGGGCATATTTACTTGGATTATAAAGAAAAGCAGAGGAAGGTATGCAGGGCTGAGCTACAGGGAATATAAGGAGGCTGATAAGATGGGCAACAGACTTGAAGTTGGTAAAAGCCTGCAACATCAAATTCCCCGAAATGGAGATAGGGAGCCAAAGATTACAACGAGCCAGTTCTGGCACAAGAGTTACCGTGCTGTTGAGGAAGGAAAAAAAGTCATCATTGAACAACACACTAGTAAACATCCTCGTATGTTAGTAATGCAAGAGTTTCAGAGGGGCACAAGGACAAAAAGGACTAACATAGAAGCGGACATTAGTTTTTGGGAGAACCCACTCTACGGAGACCTAAAGTACTCTAAGGGTAGTATCACGGAAAAGGACAGGAGGTGCGAGTCTCTTAAGCTTGTCGTTGAAGAGATAATGGTGGTTTTAGGAGAGAAGGAGGTCGCATGTATACAACAAGAAGAGATACAAAGCAAGCGGAAGATAGAGAGCAAGGATTATGTCATGAGTCAATACATAGCACCATTGGATGGGAAAAGGTTCGAAATATTTTTAAGGAACTTGAATTGAGCTTCAGCAGAATAGTTAACAATGCAGGTGTCGAACCAAACAGAATTATCACCATCTTTCCGGAGTTTCATTTTCTTCCGCTTTGAGGACGAGTCGGATCTCAACCGGGCAGTATTGATAAGCACAAAAGTGGATTTGGGCTTATTATGGGCCATATAAGTTATTAGTGGGTCTGCTATTACGCTTGGGTTTTTATTAAGCATTTTTATGTATTTAAAAGAGAGCAATTCTCTTAAAAGATCAATCAAAAACATATTTTCTCTCTATCTTCTTCTTCTTCTTCTTCTCTTCTTCTCTTCTTCTCTTCTCTAATTTCTTCTGATTCTCGACCTCATTTCTTCTATTCTCTTCTCATCTCCCTACTATCTTCTCTTTGGTAGGTTCGGAACCTATCAATTTTTCCCCTGATTTTACGCGTCTTTTTGGTTTAAGCAATTGTTTTTTTTTGTCGTCAGTGTATTTGATAATATATTGATCAGTCGCATTTTCCACATGCCGTACAAGTTCAGAATTCGGATGGTTTTAATCTTTCCCATTGTCAAATTGATTATTATGAAATTTGTAAACTGAATTAAATAATCAACCGATTTTTGTTAGGAAAAATACTCTGAAATAAGCCTAAACTAGATAATAACCCGCATCCCATGCTGAGTAAAATAACTATTATTTATTTTAATTTAATATAATTTTAAAATTATATAATATAATATAATTAAATTTATATAAATTTGATATAATATTATACTATGACATTGACAATATAGATTTTTTTAATTTTTTATGAAATAAAAGATAATTTAATTATAATGTAAATTAATTTAAAAATTAAATATCATGCATAGCACATGATATAGCCGGGCAGAAATACAAAGTTACCATACAAATTTTCTATATACTGTGATTAATGATATAATTCATTATTTTTACCAATATCCAAGATTTGGGTATACAATATTTATGTATATATTATTACTTTTGACTCTTAAATAATTAAATATTATTTGTTAAATAGTTTGTTACTTATCTATTAAATATTATTAGTTAAATAAATTAATAAATTTTTCTATTCTCAAATTAGACTTGTTCAAAATATAATACAAATTGATAAAATAATATTTTTAAGAAAATATATATATAAATATAGTTACATTAATATCATAAATTAATAGTTACCATAAAATAATCTTATATAAATATATAACTATGATAATTTACTAAAATATGAATATATAATAGTTTGTTTTTCTAAAAATTGAAATAATATTATGGTTTATGTAAAATTTAAAAGTGAATTATTTAAAGATATCATTAACTTTTAAAACAAATATAACTTTTAATTAATTCTTAATAAATAATTTATTTAATTCTAAATCGATAAATTTATGATTACTACAATATTGAAATCAAAATATTATCAACTTATAGAATTTTACAGTAATTAAATTGATTTATTAAAAGCTAACAAACTAAGAAAAAAAAAACATGAACAAACATTCATCAAAAATTTGATACTGTATATGATAAATCAAACATTCATCAAAAAAATAAACAATTAATATTGGCATTACCACGTTATGATCTCTTACAAAAAAAAATGTAAGCAATAATGATATATACCATATTTGTCATCTAAGAGTCATATATAAATCAAACCAAAATATAATATATCAAATTTCTTTATATAGTAAATCTGAATATTAATAATATATATCATAATAGTTTTGGAAATTCATCATTATGATTTTTTTCTTTTTAATTAATGTTTGTGACGAAAATAATATATATTTTTAATAATACATTTTTGTATATATTATTATAAATTGTTAAAAGACATATAGCTTGAAATAGTATATATGTTATCACAATTATTTTCATGCATGCTATAATTACAACAATATGTGAATTAAATCATTATAACTTTCTTTTATTTGTCTGATTGATTTTTGAGAAAAATAAAGTATTATTTTAAAATTTTTGTTTTATTGATAAGAATATTTTTAATAAAAAATTAATAAACATATTTTCTAATAAAAGTAGTTAACATTAGTAAAGTGTTATAAATTTTGTTGTTAATTTGAGAAAAATAAAATATTATTTTTAGTTTTTCAGTTGTTTTTATAAGAATAGTTTTTTATGAATAATCAATAAACATATTTTTTTTTTAAAAAAGTTGTAAACATTAAAAAGTATTATATA